TTTATATTAAACCATTTTGGGCTATGTACATAACCCAAGAAAGCTGTCCAAGTTCCGGCTAACTATAACCCAAGTTATCTGTATAGCGCCCCTGTACTCTATCAATATATTAGTCCCCGATATTTGCCAGATATCTTTATAATATATATCATTTAAAGCCTTGTGTAACCTTTTAAGTTAGGAACTTCCGACTGTACATTAAGTAGCATATTCAGCCACCCACCAGTGACCCAGTCTGTAGCGATTATATAATTAACCGACGGTCTATAAACAGATAACGAATATTTAACCGTTTTCACTAGTGTAGCCAGGTAATATTCCCAATACCCCTGTCAGGGTATTCTACTTTAGTTTTTAATTAATGCTAATGCAATTAATTAAAACAGTATATTTTTAATTATATATTGCATATACTCTAAAATCAAGTAGGACTTTAATTATTGGTGTCAAGTTAAAGATACCCTTTAAATTTATATTTCATTTCATCTATAATATAAGGTTTAACTATTAAAACTAAGTCAGACATAGATTGTTTTCATATGCTTATTTTTCATTGATCTATATGTCCTACTTTTACAACACTAGTCTTTAGACCATATTTAACACTAAGTATTTTACTTAAATAAACACAATCCTCAAATGTAAAACTGTTAGTTGCAAGAGAGATTCCTTGATCCTTTTGTCTCGACCTATCCTGCATTATTCAATGAGCTAAACCTATCGGTGTAATAAATTCTCCTATTCACTCTGGTATTTTTTTTGTAAGAACACCATCAACTTCGTGATAAAATGAATTATAGATTCACAATAGACTAGTAAAACTATAAGTTGTTAATCTATAGTTATAGCGAGTTGATGTAGGATCTGATCGTTTGTCAACACTTGCTTCTGATTTAACCACCAATTTAGGTGTGACATTAGAACAATAACCTAATTCATGTAAAATAATATTAAGATGGTGAATATAAGCAGAATTTTTTACACCTTGTTCTAGACTAAACCGAACACTATCCATCTGTTGACCTTTTATCTTGTTACCTCATCAATCACCCAACATACCACATATTATTATAGATAATACATCAATGTTATGAGGACCTATTCTACGGATAGCTATGGTTCTACTTTTATTAAAAGGTAAAGTAGGAGAAATAATGTTATCATTATCTTTAACTCGAGATACCAACAATAAATTTGGCCACATATTTTTAATAGCCATCATTAATATAAGGATAACTGTACCGATTGTTCACACTAAAGTTCTAGGTGCTCTGTATGATCCATAATATAAACCTCTTCCTATGTGTAAGTATACCAAGAAGAAGAAAGCTGAAGCTGTGTTACTGTGTAAATAACGTATTAATCATCCGTTATTTACGTCTCTCATAATCAAATTTTAGATTGAGTCTGTGCCGATATGCTAATAAACCCTCGTTTAACCAGGCTTTTAATTATTTATATATAAAAGCCGAATTAAATACTATATTATGTGTAATTTTTTTTATAAACTAATTTATATATCATTTCTTGAGAAAGGAATAGAAGAAAAGACATATCTACCTTGATATGCCTTACCGGTATCAATATATCTACCTATTACTCTACTACCTCGTCTTAGCCCTAACGCTTCATGCCCTGCACCGTAAGTTGAAAACGGTGAACCGTTTAGTTCTTTATTACCTTCAGACTCCCGGTCATAAATATAAACAATAAAACCTTTACGTCCACCCTTATTTATGGTAAACTGTCTAACTAGATCAAAGTGAGCTAGACCACTAGTAATATCAAAAGGCGGAGCTAGAGCTAACAGTTTAGATATGGAATCTTCACTAGGAAGTTCTATTTTATTTTCTATCTTAGTGCTAGTATAACGATACTTATTAGTACCCAAAGAAATATGTAAAACCATTTTCTTACCTTCAGGGAGATAGTAATAACCAAATTTGTGAATTACGACAGAAATAACTCAATAGTGATAATCTAAAACTTTTCTAGTTAAAAATAAAATAGATTAAAAAATAAGGTACAATATAGTTAAAAAGCGAATCAATACCCACTACTGTCATACTGTAAACACCTGTTTTGGAGTTTAGTGCGTAATGTACAATAAATTCCTTGTTACCTGTAGTGTTATTAAATTCTTTAAATAAATTAAAAAGAAATGTTTCTATAGCATTTAAAACAAATAGATTATTTTTAAGTTGAGCTAATTGGAAATAGGGTACAAGATGTTTATAACCAAATGTTCCCTCACCTTCTACAAAACCCTGTAATCATCACTTGTTTATAGAAACCTTATTCTTTAATTTAACTAATTACTCCTTATCTATTGTCAATCTACCACTATTAATGCTTGTTTTTTAGTTTTTTTTTATTTTAATTAAATCTGTTTCACTAATTCTTTTTCTTGATCCAAAGCTTTCCGTATTTAATTTTATTTGGATCGCTTCAAAAAAACAAGTGTAATCCAAATATTTGGTTGTCTGTAAGGGAAACTCCTTAAAAATAGGTAAAATGACTCTAAGGATATCTTCGAATCTATGTACATAAAATACTGCAGAATTACGAATTTTATCTCTCTTTACTTCCCCTACACCTAATGTTTTTGCTATTTTGTGTAGAATTTCTATATCATCTACATGCAATACTACACTTAATCTAAAAGAGACTGAAGTTCCATTCTTATCAAATGTAATAGAAAAAAAAACCTTTGCATCAGCAAACCCTACCAGCCAATTAAGAATTTGGCTGGAGGTATTTGGTATATTTTTTATAGGACGTAAAGATTTATCGCTATTATCTGGCAAATTAAGTTTATCTTTATTTAAAAATTTAACTATAAGAGGGGTGATTAACATATCGGGGCCTCTCATAATCTAGGAAAGATTTATACCTGCTAAGTTACCATTCATTAAATCTTAGATGCATTATCTATAGGTTTAGATGAAAGTAAAGACTTAGACTTATAGAATCTATCTGTATCTATATAACGGTTACATGTATTACTACTAGATTTTTACCCTAAAGCTCTATGAGTAGGCGTTCGCCAACTAAAAGAAGCAAAAGGAGTACCATCTATTAGATTACCATTTTCATATATATATACTGTTTTAGGGCTTTCAGATTTATTTAGCCTCTCATAATACCGTACATTATTCAAATGAGGTATATTAGAACTTACATCAAAAGGAGGATCCTTTAAAAGTATATCCTTATATCTTTCAAATATATTCGTAATAATACCATCTACATTTTGAATAGGACCTGTACTATATCTTTTGTTTAAAATATCTTAAATATCTAAAAATCATTTTTTTTTCCTTCCCCTACAAAAAAAAATAAAAAAAAAACAAAAAAAATAATAAACAGCAGTTGAGGCAGGTAAAAGATAATAACCTTGTATTTTGTAGGGGTCAGTGGATTGGTTACCCTGCCCTCCGAACCGTACGTGGCTGTTTCCCGTCATACGGCTCTCCAAACAATCCTCCAGCTTCGTTGAATTTAGATTTTGGTTTTATTACTTCCTAGGTACCATTAAATCGGTTCCCTTAGCTTTCGTTGATTAAGTTCGAAAACAGTGAAGACAAAATTGGTGGCGATAATTTTTCACCTGGCCAAGATTATGGACGTATTTCAGCTATGGCTTCATTTCGAGAGAGTACTTATGTCATTATCTGGTTACTATTCTGAATTAACGGTGCCTCGAAACCGACCATCCTTCTTTTCGTAATGGCTCCAGATAGGTGAGCCTCCTTTAAGAATCCCCCATATCTGTAATCGGTCAAATACTGTGCTTTACAATTAATCATCGGATTGAGATGTCTTCCTTTGGATCCTAGAAAGTGGTTTATTTCGTCCCCTATCCTATTACGAAGACTCCGACACCGCTCTTATTTAATTAGATGAGATAAGGCGCGGTTGGTTACCGAAATAGCGACTATAATCCTTAATCCTTAGTGACCTTAGACCCTTGCCAGGCTTTAAAGAGTGGAGTTATACTGCGTGTGGTAGTAGGTGATTTCCGTTAAGGCCGCTATTAATGCCTGTTAGCTTCCCACAATGGTACCGTCGTGCCTGTAAAGGAGGCTAATAACGGTTGAGACTAAGATAAGCGGACTTGCACCCTTATTTATCAGCGAGTCGGCACTGATTATGTTAACTATTTACATTAATCTCTCTCAACCAATTATTTCGTCTACGCCCCAAACTCAGGGTACCATGCATAGCCCGAGGCCCCTGCCCAAGTATCAGGTTCGTAATATTTACCTACTCATAGTCACATTCCACTAGTGTCACCCTTAGCCCTATCATTACTGATATTCCAAGGTTTGTCCTAGAATCTCTTACAGGTGGATCCCGTTTAGCCCTTTATGTATCTGTGCTTTAATCATCCTAATCTTGTTAGGTTTTAGGACAACCAGATATAGTGGTACTCATTTATAATCACCTTATGAGTAGACAGCTGGATGTCTGTCTGAATTATAGCGCTTTCTCGGCGCACAATAACAAGGCTATCCTTCACAACTTAAAACTTGTATATTTATAAGTATACATGGTATGATTATCTAATAAGGGAAAAATGTAATAATAAAGTGCATCAACACTACTTACAACTAATGATGTGACATTAGTTTTTGCATTAACCGTACTTACTACATTCAAGGGTAGTATTTTACTATGTTGCTTTAAAATACTACCTAAGGATGTTAAAAAGGTTACTATTGCATTTAAACAAGCTTGACTTGTGTTTTTTGAGCCACTTGTAAATACATAGAGGATCCTGTCTTTAAAAGTCCCTTCACCTTCTCTAAATCCTATGAATCAATTAGGGTTTATTTTAATTTGAGATTCTGTAATAGAATATATATAATTTTCTCAGCGTACGCTGAGAATTAATACCATTTTTAAGGTTTATTACTCTTTCTTTATCTACATCAGATAATCTATTGTTATTATCTTTTATAATAACAGCTTTATAAAAATCTTCAAAGTCAAGCGAAGCAGGAAAGGGATACCATCGAGCACTGCTCGATGGGAGGGTACCCTTTCTAATCTTTTACTTGTTAATAAAGGAAACTTATTAAATATAGCACATATAACATATTTAATTTCTGTAAAATCTTGTACTACAAATGAACAGCTATTTCTGCTTTTCTCTGTAACTACGCTACCAATGTTAAGTTTAGATTTTATAGTATTAAGAGTTTCAACATCATCAAGATGTAATGATATTTTAAATCTTACATAATTACGATCTATGCTAATTAAAAAGTTACCTTCTGCATCTGTGAATCCTTAAAATCAATGCAAGAAATCCTTAGAAACACTATTAAACTCTTTTTGAATCATTTGATTTATTCGAGCCGCCCTGAGATGTAGATGTAAGAGTAGAAAATTTATTGAATCTCATTTTAATTTTAGAACCCGACACGTCAAGAAAATATCTTAAGTTTTACCTACTAAAAGGTACAGGTAATCAATCTTTACCTCTAGGTATTTCTACCTAGTCTGGACTATATCATCATATTTAGTTTCGGCCTAAATATGTCAAGCGTGTAGTCTCTGAGGATCCCTACAGTAGTAGGATCCAAACACTCATAAAAGATACTACAATAAATATACATATCGACTGGTCGAGCGCCCTAAAATACAGATCTAAATATAAAGATAAAAAGAATATGCAAATCCTACTACATCGAGAACTTCGAATTATTTATTACTGATACTAACATGATTATTACTTAAGTAATCTATTAAGAATAATACTCATAGGTTTCCTGCTGATTATCCATTGTAACATCCTCCATCTAGCCCCCCTCTCTCTCTACCCCCCGCAACAGGAGCCTGTATAGGCTTCCAACCCCCAGCACAGACTGGATGTGTGAGTACACACCAGTACTGTGCTGGGGGGAGGGGGTGCGGGGGGGGGGGGGGGGGGGGGGGGGGGGGGGGGGGGGGGGGGGGACGAGAGAGAGGGAGTCTTGCCCCCGCAAGACGTGGGTGAGACCCCGCCTAGGTGGGCTAGCCTAGTAAAAAAAAAATAGTTGAGCTAGCGGCCAATAAGATATCGAGATCCTTAATGGTAAGATTTTTACTTTATTATAAGTACTTAAGGCTTTAGGAGTTTCCAGCATATAGCTCGATTTAAC